ATTTACAATAGTTTAACCTGTTATTTTTTTTTAAAGAAAATTATTCTCTGCTTAGATGGCTTAAGTATATGATCATTGTTTCATTTGTCTTTTTCTCCTAGTAGCATGGAGTGGGGTCATTTAAATGTCATGACTTTGTGGTGATGGAAGAAGTGGGTTTCTTGGAGCTACCCAGTGTCTCCTGGATCATTTTATGTCACTGATTTGGAATGAACAACCAAGGTGGATCACTTTTCAGTGACTTGTGGCATGGTTGATCCCAGCTGGATTTTTGAGGAACTTTGATGACATTATCCACTCTGGCCAAAAGTCATAGTTTTTTGCCTCTGGTTTCAAATTCCCCACCTTTTGTGGGGTATCTTTGTTTGAACCCAACCTTCTTTTATTTTATTTTTAATTTTTTATTGTTGGTTGTTCAAAACATTACAAATTTCTTGACATATCATATTCCACACTTTGATTCAAGTGGGTTATGAACTCCCACCTTCACCCCATACACAGATTGCAGAATCACATCAGTTACACATCCATTGATTTACATATTGCCATACTAGTGTCTGTTGTGCTCCGCTGCCTTTCCCATCCTCCACCATCCCCCCTCCCCTCCTCTCCCCTCCTCTCTCTCTACCCCCTCCACTGTATAACCCTGAGGGTCTCCTTCCATTTCCATGCAATTTCCCTTCTCTCTCCCCTTCCCTCCCACCTCTCATCCCTGTTAAATGTTAATCTTCTTCTCATGCTCTTCGTCCCTACTCTGTTCTTAGTTACTCTCCTTATATCAAAGAAGACATTTGGCATTTGTTTTTTAGGGATTGGCTAGCTTCACTTAGCATAATCTGCTCTAATGCCATCCATTTCCCTGCAAATTCTATGATTTTGTCATTTTTTTAATGCAGAGTAATACTCCATTGTGTATAAATGCCACATTTTTTTTTATCCATTCGTCTATTGAAGGGCATTTAGATAGGGTTTTGCTAAGTTGCTTAGGCTGGTGCATGCCACCTTTCCAGCTTCATTGTTTTTGGGAGGGTACTGGGGGATTGAACCCAGGGCCTCACACATGCTATACAAGTGCTCTACCACTGAGCTACACCTCCAGTGCATATATATATTTGGTACCAGGGATTGAACTCAGGGGCACTCAACCACTGAGCTGCATCCCCAGTCCTTTTTCATATTTTATTTAGAGACAGGGTCTCACTGAGTTGCTTTGCACCTTGCTTTTGCTGAGACTAGCTTTGAACTTACAATCTTCCTGCCTCAGCCTCCCAAGACTCTGGGATTACAAGTGTGTGCCACTGTCCAGCTTCAATATTTTTGTAAATAAATAATTTTAATTTGTCTTGAGTAATTATGAAAAAGAGCCATTAATAGGGTTGGCAGGTTAAAAGATGTTTTATCCTATCTGTTGCTCTTGAAGTTTGTTACCAGCAATAAATCTCTAACATTAGGCACTTACAAGAAAGTAGAATTTAAAATTTTGCTGTATTTTTTCTTTGAAAATGTATTATAAATTAAAGCATTATTATTATGCTTTTACTTATGTATGTTGTGTTTTTAAAAAATGAGTTTCTATAAACAATTATATAAATATTTCTAACCTACATTCTCTTCTAGAACCTACCAAGCTGCATTTAAATGTAGAGGAAAAAAAGATATTTTAAAATTATTTTTATGTGTGTGGGGTGTTGGAGATGAAGCTCAGGCAAGTGTTCTACCACTGAGTTGAACCCCCAGCACTAAGAGATATATATTTTTAGCAGATATCTGTCAATATTACCTTGGAAAAATCTGCTAGAAGAGCAGTTCTTACTAGTCACACAAAATACTCTACATAAAAACGTGTGAGTAAATTTTTACTACATAGTCCTTTTCATAAATACCTGAACATTTTGATAATCCAGCGAAGTATTATTGTGATTTTACAGAGAGATTCAGAGAAGGTAATGTAGGATCATACAGCAAGTACACTGTCATAGGCCCATGATTTTTTGAATAAAAAACCCAGCCTCTTTTTACTACGCCATACTGAAATCAAGAGCAAAATCTTCCATGCACACTAAGCACCAAACATTGAAGGGAAATCATAGTTTAAGTTTTGACTAAAACTCCAGCTAAACAATCTGGCTAGTCTAAACCTGGGGTTAGAGATTTTTTTTTTTCTCTTGATTGTACCTTGCAGTTCACTGTAGGCTGAATTGTGTGGTATTCTCACAGTTGGTTTGAGGGCACAACTTATGTTCAAATAAATTTTAGCTTTAGTTTCTGATATTTAGCATGGAGCAGTGGCCACACTCATCTTCTGCTCAGTTACTTACAAACTTTCCCATCAAACACTGCTGAGGCTTCTTGCAGTTTTAGGGTATGAGAGTCTCACTGAAGGCTCTTCCTTCCATCAGCTAAACCAGTATACCGATTCTTTAATTTTTTCCTGACTCAGGTCTGCTGTTGGCATCTAGTACAGTTACCCTACAATAATCATGCTAACTCTCCTAACTTCTTGCACTTATGCCTTCTTCAAAATATGACATAATTCAGAATAATCACTTAGTTATACTGGGTTCAGGCTAAGATCCTGTTCCTCAGCCCAATTCATCCACACCTGATTCAGCTGCATTGGCCAATAATAACGTATCTGCACTTTTCTAAGCAACTTCCCAAGTATTCTTGCTAATACTTTATAAAACACAGACACTACACACTCATTCATTCACACAGTCATATGGACGACATCTATTAGTTTCTATATCCTCTACAACTGTTGTGTCAGGCATACATGGCATATGCTCAGAGAGGAGCTTTAAACCAATGGATTCTCAGTCTTCTGTTTGAATTCACTTCTATCAGGCACAAATCACCTAGTTTTAGGTAGGTTTTTTTTTTTTTTTTGTACCAGGGATTGAACCCAGAGGCGCTTAATTACTGAGCCACATCCCCAGCCCTTTTTAATATTTTATTTAGAGATAGGATCTCGCCGAGTTACTTAAGGCCTCACTGCGTTGCTGAGGTTGGCTTTAACTTGCGATCCTCCTGCTTCAGCCTCCCAAGCTGCTGGGATTATGGGTGTGTGTGCATCATTTGTCTGGCAGTTATTTATTTATTTATTTAAATAAACAGGCTATAATATAAGCCATAGCCATACAATCTAGATTATGCATTTTTAAAAGTAATATTTGTGTAAACATGTGTACTGGGATCAGGAGTCATTCAGTGTTGCAGGGAAAGACAACTGTAGGTAGAGTAGCTGCTATATGGACTCTAGCCTGTGCATTTTGCTTTCTTTGCCTTAGTGGTGGAAATGGGTTAAAAAGTACTTTAGCACAATGTGTTGTACAGGTTGACACTACTGCACTGCTCACTTAAAAATGGTTGAGATGGTTTGTTGGCTTTGCAGTCTTAGCCATTGGTTCTGCTGAGATGCTTCAAACTATTATTAAAAACTACTGACTGGATCCACTTGAAGCCCTACTATACCCAGGTTTACCAAGAGATTTGGGTAGGAATGGGGTTGATGAGCTTCATTGTTTATAAAATCAAGAGTGCTGATAAAAGTAAAGCTTTGAAAGGTTCAAGTCCTGCACCTGCTCATGGTCATCATTAGCCAGCTTGCAGAATCGTCAGTCTGCCTGTAAATTTAAGCAGGCTTTGTTAATGGGAACATAGTACATTGTTATACCCTTAGATAAGTATCACTTACTACATGGCATGAATAAATGATCTGAGATGCACCACTACCCATGCCAATACTGCTTTGTATGTTTCCCCCAGTAGAGCCTTTGCAATGCAGCAGCCCACACTCCTGAGGAAACCTGGGGATGAGGAGCAATCTCGGGGTTGGTGGTCAGGTTCTAGACATTCACTTGAATTCTAATACTTTTAAGATGCTAAATTTTGTTACATATTTACATCTGTCTATCTCAACTGAGAAAAAAACTTTAAAAACTTACTGGACAATGCTAAAGATTCAGGACAACTTTTGGAGGAATAAAACCAGAGGCCCTTCTAATCTTTTTGGATACTCAGTAATACAATAAAATACCCAGATATGTGCAATAGTCATCTCCAATAGGAATAACGTCTTATACAAATTGATCTTCAGTTAAGTTGGTCACATCTGAGATTTCCCATAGACTTGCAAGTCCTTTATTGTCTGGCCTCTAGTTCCTTATGACCAATCATGAACCAGTTCCTGGTCTGTTTTCAATTTTTAACAAGACAGTTTCTAACCTTAGGGCTTTACAGTGTTCTTTCTGCCTCAAAAACTTTTCTCATAATTTTTCGTCTGAATCTTATTTATCCTTCAGGGCTCAGCTTAAAAATAATTTCTTTAGGAAGGCCCTCTTTAAGTTCCCTAATAAGGTTGGGCCTGTGGCAGTCTCTCTGGATCCACATCCATTCCCACTCAGAGGAGTCCAGACTTTTCCTTTGTATCACTTAATACAACTGTATATAATTATATTAATCTTCCCCCAAAAGGCTGCAAGTTTCCTGAGTTAGGGATTATCTCTCTTGTTAACCACGGGGTTACCCAGGTTCTAGTACCTTGTGTACAGTAGGGACTCAATATTCCCTTTCCTATAATGGCCTTTTATCCCACTTAGCAGGTAGAGGTGCATATAAAGTTTGTGAGCTTGGTGGTGGAGACAGTGGTTGAGTGGCCAGAAAGATGAAAGAAGTTTAGGGGTGGATAAGAGGGAGGGATGAGGGTACTGCAGGACACTCACTTAATGAGGTTCCCTTCCACTCCTCAACATCCCATCCCCACCCAAACAAGTCATTAAACAATAGTTTATGTATTCATTCCATTAGAGAATCAAGAAAACATCAGATTACAAAACCAAGGACATTTGCAGCATTTGAATGTGTTCAAGAAACCAGTCACAATTTTATTTTGATACCTGGGACTGAACCAAGAGGTACTTTACCACTGAATTACATCCTTTTATTTTTGTTCATATTTTAAAATTTTGAAAAAAGTCTTGCTCAGTGGCTGAGGCTGGCCTGGAACTTGCAATCCTTTTGCCTCAGCCTCCCAAATTACAGGGATTATAGGTATGCTACACCACACCTGGCTACCAGTCACCATTTAATTGAATTATACTTCAATACAGGGAGGATTGTGTCTCTCCAAGTAACCTTCACTGAGGCAGAGTACATTCCTCCAATACATGGAAAGATGGTACTTTCTTCTCATAATCACTGAGGAAGAAATTCTCTCTTGATGGGCCAACACTACTTCTTTTTTGTTGCTCTTTTCCCTTCTCCTTTCTTTGGCTTCCCCTTTCCACGAAGCTTCTTTAGACGCTTTTGCTCATCCTTAAAATCCTGATGCTCATCTCTGCATGAAGGAAAAATAATCAACTTGTTATTTTTTATTATATTGAAAAACTATACCAATATTTCACTGTTTTTTCAGATTGTTCTGGTTATTGATTCTTGACTTTTCAGGGTACATGTTCAATTTGTTGAATAAAGTACAAGGGTTCCCCTTGTTTCTAAAAATTCATTTATAAGTGAGTTTTCCCTCATAGAAACAATGCCATAAACTGCAGTTGATCTTCCAGGCCAGCCCAGGTAACCCTATGTAATTATGATATTCACAAGTAACTACTTCAAATTTCCCTACATTAATACTAAACAATCAGAGGAACAGAAATCAGGTATAGAGTTCAGTAGCTACACAGAGACCCTGACTGCCCCAGGAATCAGTATCTTCTAAAAAAGGGGCAGAGGTCTGGAGGAAGTGGCTTTAATGGCAGTAGATACTTCACATAAAGAGGCTGCTGGGAAAGGCTCAGGGAGAAGGAAGCCAGATCAAAAAACATACTATAGAAATCAAGGCTGCTACAACTATTTATTCATATGGACTAAACTGTTTAAAATGCCTATATCTTAAGACCAAACACCAAAAGAGTATAGTGCTTACACATGTAAGCTGTGGAACCCACTGGAACCTGGGTTCAAATCACAGCGTCACCATTTGGTGCTCTGTGACTTTGGATAAGTGACCTTATCTCTCTACACCTTAGTTTCCTCATCCATAAACTATGAATAATAATGGTATATGAATTAAATGTTAGAAGGGTTTGCTGGGCCTGAATTTCAACTCTCTAGACTATTTTAAAATAGATTGGCTTTACAGAATTCAGTGTCTTATTCCGTGAACATGAACAGCATACAACAGACTTCTTCAGGATTAACTAAAAATGCCAAATAATTTTCAGCACAGCAGCCAGGGCAATTCTGAAATATGTCAGATTATGTGACTCCTGCATATGGCTCCCCCTTTCATCCAGAGCAAAACCCACAGACTCCTGTCACCTGCCTCCTGTGCACCCACAGGAGCTGAGACCACCCCCCACCCCGTGACCTGTCTCCTGCCTCCCCACTATTTCCTTAGCCTGCAATATTCTTGGATCATTCTAAATATGCTCCTACCTCCGGGCCTTTGCTCTGCTCTTGCCTCTGCCTTGCAAACTCTTCTCAGCTCTCACCATCCTTGAGCCTTTGCCTAAATCTCATCTCCTTGATGTAGCTGACCCTGATTGTCCTGTTGAATGCTGTAACATGGCCTCTCCCCACCCACTAGGGCCCTTTCAGCCCTCTGGATCCTGCTCAGCCAGCTCTGTCTTTAACTTTGTACTATATCACATAATTTACTTACTTGTTATTTTTCCTCCCCCATCCCTGTCAACCCCTGGAGACAAAGACAGCTCCACAAAGGCAGGGAGGTTTGTCTCTGTTGATGATACAACCCAGCACCTATTAACTGAACCAATTATTTCTGGGAACCTGTGCTTCCCTCCCTGTTCTGCAGGCCTCTGAATCAGATTTTCTTTACTAAAGGGACTGTGTAGTTTAATCCTGCCTGGTGTCACAGGAGGCCTACATTAGAGGTGCCGTTTACTATAACTAGTGACTAAATACATGAAAATAATGTTGCTTTTCCTTGGAAAACTAAGTGCTAAGTATTTTTTCCTGTCTCTAAACATAGCCAGGTGTTTGCTCTTCAAACAAATGGGAACAGCTGCAAACAGATACATTAAAATGTGATCTTGTTATGGATTATAATCTTGTACTCAGAAGATCTGGCTCCCAATATTTTATTTTATATACTAATAAGATTAGTTTTTATTTTCTGAGCTCAGACTAATGGCGAGGGAGATAGTCCCAAGCAATTCCAGACATTAAAAATAGATCATGAACTCTAATATATTAACTAAGAAAACCAATTCCATTTTGAATACTGCTGTTCCCTTAGTTCTCATCTTAAGTACCTGAACATGTAACTTAAGATGTACCTGTTGGATTAATGAATATACCAACCTTCAGCTCTCTGGAATGAACATCATGCTGAACTAAAAATTTTAATCACAATTGAAAGAATGGTCTCAAATTAATTTCTGTATTGTCGCCCAAAGATAAGTTCAATTAAAACAGGTTAAATTTTTAAAAAGATGCTATGTATTTTAATGCTATATAATTATGTTATGTTTTAATTCTTTGTAACAAGAACATATATTTTTTGGTAAAGAAAAAATTTTAAAGAAAAATGATACATAGGGGCTGGAGTTGTAGCTCAGTGGTACAGCGCTTACCTAGCACATGTGGGGCACTGCGTTCAACCTCAGCACCATGTAAATAAATAAAATAAAGGTACCATGTCCATTTACCACTAAAAATATTTAACAAAAAAAGGAAAAATGATTACATAGGTATTTTATCTTTTCTCTTTCTAGAGGTCTAATCCTAAGCACTCACTTCCTGAATTTACCCAAATGTACAAATGCATAGTGTTAACAGCCCGTGTGATTTATACGTTATCCTTAAAGGTGAACTACAGCTTAATTCGATCAAATTAATATATCAGAAAGGTACAAAATGTCAGAAGTGAGTAGGAGGAAAAGAGAATGCCAACAAAACTGCCACCAGCAGAGAAAGGAGGCTCCCACACACCCTCCAAGAGGCAGATCAGGTGTGGGGCAGGGACTCTGTTCGTCAAGAACCTGCTGCCTGGGCAACTGTGGCACTCCTGGGGTTTTCTTCCTCAGAATTTGGACCAGTTTTTCTCTGCATTCTTTTTAGTGTTCTTAGGTTAATGAATATTTAAAAATCTCTCTACAGCTCACTATAAATTCTATATCAGTCATGTTTTAGGCCTAATTGTTTGCCAACAAGCATGTATTTCCTCTTTTTTGGTTTGCTCATAGATATTTTGACAGCAACCTGTTCCCATTAAGTACACCTTTTGAACTATCTGGGCTCTCTTGTAAGAACCACAGAAATATAAGGATAGGAAGGCCACCTTATTAGCTGAAAGGCTGACTTTTTTCTTTTGATAATACGCTAAGAGCATCTCTCACAGGGTCCTCTTTGTGTTTTTTTGTCATCACCTGTAGAGGCCAAGAAAACGCAGTGTGCCCATGAGACCAAAATATGTGTTGTGATTTGGATACCAGTCGTAAGTCTCCTTCTTCTTGGCCAGTGGCTGCTCACTGAATAGTTTCACTACTTTCATGGATTTGGAATCAGTTGGCCTGGCAACTTCACCAAAGAGCCGAGCACTCAGACGAGTCATGCGCAAAGCATATTCTGAAAGCGAAGACATTTCTTGAGCATCTAGGAGACTCCCTACAGAAAATGAGAAGAAAAACAGGTTAGTGTAAGAAATTCTGAGCTTATCTAATGAACGCTTTAGACAATGAAGATATAGCAAGCCACTCATGAATCACCTTTTGGCAAGACATGCTTTGGAGTTGAGAAACATCCACAGCCCAAACAGCTGTTTCCTTTGCATGCTTTTCATTTTGAATTTTCACATTTTGTATTCACAAAATATCATTTCTTTAATGTACTGCCCTTTTTACAAATGAGAACTACTTTGTGATTCAGTAGGTGTTTGCTTATAGTTTATCTATTTTGCAGGATGGATGAAGAGGATAGGGAAACAAGTCATTCTACCACAGCTTTGTTATTACACCTTTAAAAACCACCACCTAAGCAATCTGCAAATAAATATGCTGACTGCTTGCCATCTAAAGGTGCAATCATGGCAGAGAAATAATTATGCTGTTGTCGTCTTTATTATCAGGCCTTTGAACACTATTCTCCTCAAGGGCACCAGATGGCTCTGAGAACTGTTAATGAGTTATGAGGTCATTTGGCCTCTAGGTTACTGGATTGAATTCTGCCTAGAGACTGAGAGCCACTTGGGGAAAAGATAGTAGTCCTACAGAAATAAAAGTTCAACAGCTCAAATAAGGATCAACATTTCAAAAGATTCATTTTATTCCTAAACAGAAGGCACTTGGGAACGGTGATATTACTTAGAAAACTAGCTAAGTTATTACTAGCTGAAAAACTTTTTCCTCAGAGGCACAGAGTGTTGAAATGGGTATAAGAATGATAACCAGGAGGATAGGGACATAGCTCAGTAGAGCTTCCCTAGCAAATATGAGGCCCTGCCTTTAATCCTTAGCAAAACACGCTCATGCACACACACCTGATAATATGATATGCAAAAATTACAGCTAACAGACAAAGCTGGGTGAAATGGCACATGCCTGTAATCCCAGTGACTAGAAAGGCTGAGGTAGACCTGTCTCAAAATAAAAATAAAAAGGGTTGGGAATGTGGCTTGGTGGTAGAGTGCCACAGGGGTCAATTCTCACAAGACAAAGAAAAAGGACATCAAAAGGTACATAGGAGATACATAAAAATTAAGAATGTTGCTGGTGGAATAATAAGGTCATTGTATTCTAAATCAGATGTGGGTTACTGCTTACAGAATATTCCAATTTATGTGAAATTCTAATAATGAGATGAGAATCTTTGCTGACTAAAAGGCTATTTAGGGGAAAGTTCAGCTGGGAAAAAAAGGAGCTGATTTCCAAAGGAAAAAAGGCATATTTATCTTGAAGAACTAACAACTCTAAAACAGCAATGTGCTAAAAGAGCTATTCAAATTTTCACACATGATTCTTAAAGGTGAATTACACATTATTTAGATGAGATTATCAAAAAGGGTACAAAAATGAAAATGCCAAGAGAGTGGGAGGAAATCAAAATGCCAAAGAACTGCCACCAGCAGAGAAAAGAAGCTCCCACACACAAGCGAAGAGGCACATCAGGTGAGGGGCAGGGGCTCTGTTCATCTGATAAAATTTCAAAATCACGCTTGCAAGAAAATAAACAAACTCACATGTTTTAAGGCCCATTTCAAGATCCATAAAAAGAACACAGGCTGACCTTAAACCAATTGCAGAATGTCAACCTCAAACCATTTACCATTTTGAACACCAGCCAAGCAATCTTGGGTTAATAGTGCCACCTGAAGGCCAGCAAGGAGAGAACTGCTGAATCCAAGGTTTCCCTAGCCCCCAGTCTGAACATCTCCTACAAGCCTTGCTCTTCCTTTTTCCTTTTCCATTCACTTCTCTCCCAACTCTTGCTGCATTATGTGGTTGCAGACTGGTTGGGATTGGACCTGTTAGGACTAAGGTTATATTTTTATCAATGAGAAAAAAGGGCCATTAACAATTTAATGTTAATAGAAAAATAGATAACAAGTCAGTGCCATAAACCTCCCCAGGCCTTGCAAATATCCAAAAGTCACTTTTGGAAGCTGCAAAAAGTTCCTTTTCTCCTCTTTCCATCTTTAAAGTAATCTTTTTCCAAACACCAGTTTAATAAACAACAGTTTCTTCATTAACTTTACCTTGTTTTGCATAATTACCCTTAGAGCATCAGAATAGATTCCTACTCTTAATTACGCAGTATTTCTATAGATAACTTGGAAGCTAGTCTGGGAACTATTGTTCTGCTAGAATGTTTTCAGGAAAACAAGGTCTGAATGCCAAATTACTTTACTTTTAAACAAGGCAGCATGGAGTCTCAAGGCCTAGGTTTGAGGACTGACTCTTTTGTCATTTATTACTTGGGTTATTCTCAACAGGTACTATCTTTTCTAGATTTGAGTTCCCTTTTTCTGAAAACAAAGTTTGCAAGATTGAGAAATGAGTAAGACAGTGGCACTCAATAAATAGTAACTAAAAAGAAAAATAAAAGGAAAAACTCTAAATGTCTTCGTAAGTTTGGTGTTATTACACACACACACATTTTGTTGATTACTTGTCCTCACTTAATCATGGGGGGAAAATCTCCATCCTGTTATACTTGTACCTCCCTGGAATGATCTCCTCACTTACAAAGCCAGACAGCCAGAGAAACAAGGGGAGGGACCAGCACTTTGGTAAACTGACAGGTAGCAAAGAGGAGGCAGGGACTTACTGAGGCTAAGTTATCACAGAAGGCTGTTATCTCCATGCCCACTTTACAACGAAGCAGGTTACTGGGAAACATAACTCATAGGTAATAATGTCAGATTATAATCCATTGGTACATAGTTATATAACAAAAACTAAATCCTAAAAAATTTATGACAGAAAAAGGGAATAAGCCTCTTCAAATCTAGGTCCTTTACTGGAAGCAAAGAATCACCTGCAAAACAGGGAGAAAATGACCACTGCCTTATAGTTTTCATCCACAAAGCCCAACATACACATCTTTGATGGAGAATGACAGAGGAGCTTGGTATACTTTTTAAACAAAACAAAACAAACAGGATAAAAGGTTTTGCTGTGCATAAGTACAGGTCCTAAGACAAACTGCCGCTTTTTACTAGCTTCAAATATTAAAAAATTCAAAAGCCTTGGTCCTTTTTAGGACCCTCATGATTCCTTATAGAATCTTTCAAAATTCTCTTAAAAGATAAAGAATATGATGGCCCTGTTTTGATATTAAAATAAAAGGTAAATAATTTACATGTCAATTATATTTTGATTCACATAAAACCATTCTTTGGGGATACAAAATAGTCACTTTGAAATGGTACTTTTCTTTAAATGAGATCTAAAGAAAATTACAGTATGGAGAAAAAAATAACTGGAATTGAAAAGGCTGAGAAAAAACACTCAAATATGCTAAGCAAAACAATTTAGGTCCACACAAGACAATTTCCATATTTTTGACACAAAAATGCCAGATGCTCTGATCTTTCAATAAGTCTGATGCATTTAAAACATCAGTTTTATTTTAATAACTGGTTTTGAATTAGACTTTTCTTTTTCAAAGGTGAAAATGAAGTGCAGGAGTTTTTAATCTGGATATGCCTGTTTTTGAATATTTAAAGTTGTATGCTGAAATGTGCACGTGTGTTTATTGCTGGGAAGAAAGTCTTCTCCAGTTTCTCAAAAACTATTGCTTAGCATAAAGCACCAGCTAGTTGGACTCTTGCCTAGCCATGTCTTTTTATAGTAGTCCTTATTCCTAGTCTCTCGGTTCTCTCACCTACTAAATGGCGACCATCAGGCACCTCTCTGAATTGTGAGGCTGACAATGCAAAATGTATGGCACAATGCTCACTCATGGGGATCCCAGGTACGTGCACACACTGTGCTCACGTGTCATCACAGAAAAACAACCCAATGGGAATGCTTTATTATTCTTAATGCCCAGTACCGATTATATTATTTTTAGGTTCAGGGGGGTTGAACCCAGGGGCGCTTAATAACTGAACCAAATCTCCCGCCTTTTTATTTTTGGAGACAGGGTCTGGCTAAGTTGCTTAGGTCCCAGCTAAGTTGCAGAGGCTGGCTTTGAACTTGCCATCCTCCTGCCCAAGACTCCCGAGCAGCTGGGATTACCGGCCTGGGCCACAGCGCAGTGCCCGGTACCTATTATTTTACTAAATCGTAGTGGCATGGACGGCAGTGAATATGTTGGCTTTATTCAACTCAGCAAGAATAACTCTGAGTCCCCTCTGTCTGACTGGATCGCCCCTCCCTGGGATGGAAACTATAGTAGTGTCAGGTCAACTGACACCTGGATCAGTGGAGTGGTGCACAAAAATTTTCCTAAAAGGGTAATAAAAATAATCAGCACCCACCCGCCAAGCTGCGATACAGTCGGCGATCTGGAGAGCAGAGAAAGCAAACCAAGCATCTGCTAACTAATCTGCCACAGAGTTAACTGCGCCGGAGAGGAAATTACGGCAGCAAAAACGCTGGCGTCCTTCATTTGGTAAATTCCCCAACAGGAGCCAGAAAAGGCCGAGGTGTTTGTGAGATACAAGAGAAACCTAGAGAAATGGTCACTAGAGAGATGGACTGGTCCTCTTCCTGGGACTGGAGACCCCGCAGGACCTCCCGAGTCATCGCCGCTATATCTGCAGAGCCCCACAAGTCACCGACAGCCTTACCTGGTCCTGACCTGCCTCCCCCACGCGCCCCTGTCCCGGATGGCCCGCCCCCAGCCGCTTCCCAGTTCCGGGCATCTTCAACGGAGAGCAGTAGAGAAACGGAAGCTTGGCGGCTAGAGCGGAACTCTGGTAACAACCCGGAATTACTAGCTTTCGCTCTCCGGGCGGGGCCTTCTAGGTCATGCAGAGCGCTTGCGCACTGACGCTAGCGCCTCTGTAGGGAGTACTGTGAAGGTGGGAAGGGTCCGGGTAGTTGGTTTTCCTGGAAGGTCTTGCTGGATCTGCCAGTTTCGTTTTTGCGGGGAATGTCTAAAAAGCGGCTTCAATAAGCTCTGAAGCAATGGCGATGCGAGTGCTTTGTGATGGGAGGATAAAATGCAGTTTCTTTTGTCACCCACTTATTCCACTCTGTTCCCCCCCCCCCCCCCATCCACCGTAGATCTTAGGTGTTCCAAGGCATCACTTCACACTAGAGGCTTTCACACTCCCCTGAGGTGCCACTCCCCTCCTCCGACCCGCTACTCTTCCTCTAAGCTACTGCAGACCTTCCTGTGCTTCCCGCTTGGCTAGGTTTTTTGTTGTTTGCTTTGGTGGTGCTGGGGGTTGAACCCAGGGCCTTGTGCATGCTAGGCAAGACTCTGCCAACTGAACTCTATCCCCAGAGGCGCCCCTCTCCCGCCCCCCGCCCTACCTGCCATTGGCTAGGTTAGGGGCTCTGTTCTCTGCATCTGTCCTTCTTTGGCTCAGAAGCTTCTTCAAGGGGTGGGGATGGAGCATTATCTGTCTCCTCAGTAGTGAGCTAGACCTCTCTTGGCAGATCGTAGAAACTCTTAAGTATTTCATTCCTTGCTAAATCTGCTTCCAAGCAAGCCACATTTTATAGACATTGTCTGCAGCACTTACTGACTCTTTGATCAGTTGAGAAAAACAGTATTTTCTGAGCATTATTCAAGTATTTCATAAATACTCTAAAATTTACCCTGTAATTTAAGGCAAATCAGTAAGTAGAATACTAAGAAGGTATTCATTTGACACTGTCTTCCTTTCTATAGAATTTGTGTTTATGAAGTTATGTTTTGATATGGTATCAATTCACAGTATCAGTCTTATCACCTTGGATCTAGGGATTATAGTAATATTTACACTGAGGGTAATGAGAATCCTATGTATAACAACAGTTCAAAAAAGATATCCTTTGTTACAGAACTTCTGGGAGAAAATTTTACCTTGTCTTTTATGTTTCTGTGGAGTTGGCTTCATTTTATCTGAAATTCACTGTGCTATATAAACAAGACCTCTTTTATGTGTTGACTTTTAGAAAGTTTAAAGCTAAATTTGTAGTTGACTTGTGGCAAGAAATATATACATACACACACGCACACACACACATATACAGTCAGGTATGTACATATATATATATATGTGTGTGTGTATACATGTCTGTAGTCATCGCTCAGTGGGGCTTTGTTCCAGGACTTCTCATGGATATCAAAATACCATATCAAGTCATGAGGTGCTCAAGTCCCTTAAATAAAGTATAGTATTTGCATATACTTACACATAGCTTCTTACATAATTTTTAAAAATTTATGTATGATAGCGGAATGCATTACAATTCTTATTACACATATAGAGCACAATTTTTCATATCTCTGGTTGTATATAAAATATTCACACCAATTCGTGTCTTCATACATGTACTTTGGATAATAATGATCTGTACATTCCACCACCATTTATAACCCCATGCCCCCTCCCTTCCCTTCCAACCCCTCTGCCCTATCTAGAGTGTATTCCTCCTATGCTCTTTCTCCCTATTCCACTATGAATCAGCCTCTCTATATCAAAGAAAACATTAGGCTTTTTTTTTTTGGGGATTGGCTAACTTCACTTAGCATTATCTTCTCTAGCTCCATCCATTTACCTGCAAATGCCATGATTTTACTCTTTTATTGCTGAGTAATATTCCATTGTGTATATATGCCACATTTTTTTAATCCATCTACTGAAGGGCATCTAGATTGGTTCCACAGTTTAGCTATTGTGAATTGTGCTGCTATAAACATTGATGTGGCTGTGTCCCTGTAGTATGCTGTTTTTAAGTCCTTTGGGGATAGACCGAGGAGAGGGATAGCTGGGTCAAATGGTGGTTCTATTCCTATTTTTCCAAGAAATCTCCATACTACTTTCCATATTGGCTGCACCAATTTGCAGTCCTACGAGCAGTGTATGAGTGTACCTTTTCCCCACATCCTCACCAACACTTATTGTTGTTTGTCTTCATAATAGCTACCATTCTGAATGGAGTGAGATTATGAAATATAGAGTGGTTTTGATTTGCATTTCTCTAATTGCTAGTGATGATGAACATTTTTTCATATATTTGTTGATTGATTGTATATCATCTTCTGAGAAGTGTCTGCTCAGGTCCTTGACCCATTTATTGATTGGGTTATTTATTTATTTATTTATTTTGGTGCTTAGCTTTTTAAATTCTTTATATACCCTAGAGATTAGTGCTTTATCTGATATGTGACATGTAAAGATTTTCTCCCAAGATGTAGGCTCTCTATTCACCTCATTGATTGTTTCTTTTGCTGAGAAGAAACTTTTTAGTCTGAGTCCGTCCCATTTACTGATTCTTGATTTTAATTCTTGTGCCACAGGAGTCTTATTTAAGGAAGTTGGGGCCTAATCCAACATTATGGAGATTAAGGCCTACTTTTTCTTCTATTAGATGCAGGGTCTCTGGTTGTATTCCTAAGTCCTTGATCCATTTTGAGTTGAGTTTTGTGCATGGTGAGAGTTTAGGGGTTTAATTTTATTTTGTTGCATATGGATTTCCAGTTTTCCCAGCACCAGTTGTTGAAGAGGCTATCTTTTCCCCAGTGCGTGTTTTTGGCACCTTTGTCTAATATAAGATAATTGTAATTTTGTGGGTTAGTCTCTGTGTCCTCTATTCTGTACCATTGTAGTCTGTTTTGGTGCCAATACCATGCTGTTTTTGTTACTATCGCTCTGAAGGGCAGTGTAAGATCTGGTATAGTGATGCCCCCTGCTTAACTCTTCCTGCTAAGGATTGCTTTAGCTATTCTGGGTCTCTTATTTTGCCAGATGAATTTCATGATTGCTTTTTCTATTTCTATGAGGAATTTCTTTGGGATTTTGATTGGAATTGCATTAAATCTGTATAGTGCTTTTAGAAGTATGGCCATTTTGATAATATTAATTCTGCCTATCCAAGAGCAAGGTAGATCTTTTCATCTTCTAAGGTCTTCTTTGACTTCTTTCTTTAGGGTTCTGTAATTTTCATTATATAGATTTTTAAAATTGTTTAGTTAAGTTGATTCCCAAGTATTTTTTTTTGTGTGTGTGTGTCTTTTGAGGCTATTGTAAATGGGGTAGTTTTTCTCATTTCCCTTTCTGATGATTTGTCACTGATATACAGAAATGCCTTTGATATATGGGTATTGATTTTAAATCATGCTACTTTGCTGAATTAATTTACTAGTTATAGAAGTTTTCTTGTGGAACTTCTAGGGTCTTCTAGGGATAGAATCATACATCAGCAAATAGTGCCAATTTGAGTTCTTCTTTTCCTATGTGTATCCCTTTAATTTCTTTCATCTGTCTAGTTGCTCTGGCCAGTGTTTCAAGAACTATGTTAAATAGAAGTGGCGAAAGAGAGCATCCCTGTCTTGTTCCAGTTTTTACAGGGAATGCTTTCAATTTTTCTCCATTTAGAATGATGTTGGCCTGGGGCTTAGCATAGATAGCTTTTATGATGTTGAGATATGTTCCTGTTATCCCTAGTTTTTCTAGTGTTTGGACCATAAAGGGGTGCTGTATTTTGTCAAATGCTTTTTCTGCATCTAATGAGATGATCATATTATTCTTATCTTTAAGTCTATTGATGTGATGAATTACATTTATTGATTTCTGGATGTTAAACCAACCTTGAATCCCTGGGATGAACCCCACTTGATCGTGTTGCACAATCTTTTTGATATATTTTTTTTGAGAGAGAGAGAGAGAGAGAGAGAGAGAGAGAGAGAGAGAGAGAATTTTTAAAAAATATTTATTTTTTAGTTTTCAGTGGACACAACATCTTTATTTGTATGTGGTGCTGAGGATTGAACCCAGGCCACACGCAGGCCAGGTGAGCACGCTACTGCTTGAGCCACATCCCAAGCCCTTTTGATATGTTTTTGTATGTGATTTGCCAGAATTTTATTGAGAATTTTTACATCCATGTTCATTAGAGATATTGATCTGAAGTGTTTTTTTTTTTTTTTATGTTTCTTTGCCTGGTTTTGGAATCAGGGTGATATTGGCCTTATAGAAATGAGTTTGGAAGTGCTCCCTCTCTATTTCTTGAAATAAATTGAAGAGTATTGTTATTAATTCTTCTTTAAAGGTCTTGTAGAACTTGGCTGTGTATCCATCCAGTTCTGGGCTTTTCTTGGCTGGTAGACTTTTGATGGCATCTTCTATTCATCACTTGAAATTGATCTGTTTAAATTGTGTATATCATCCTGATTCATTTTGGGCAAATTATATGACTCTAGAAATTTGTCAATACCTTTGATATTTTCTGTTTCATTGGAGTATAAGTTTTCAAAATAATTTCTAATTTTCTTTTGTATTTCTGTAGTGTCTGTTGTGATATTTCCTTTTTCATCATGTCTGTTAGTGATCTGAGTTTTCTCTCTCCTCTTTGTTAGCATGGCTAAGGGTCTGTCAATTTTATTTATTTTTTTCAAAGAACCAACTTTTTGTTCTGTCAATTTTTTAAAATATTTATTTTTTAGATGTAGTTGGACACAATACCTTTATTTCACTTATTTATTTTTATGTGGTGCTGAGCATTGAACCCAGTGCCTCGCACGTGCTAGGCTAGCGCGCTATCATTTGAGCCACATCCCGAGCCCTCTGTCAATTTTTTCAATTGTTTCTTTTGTCTCAATTTCATCTCTGATTTTAATTATTT